CTGGATTCCAGAGTGTACTCCCTCAGATGACTTGGAGAAAGAGAGTCACTTGTGGCAAATAAAGAGCAGCCTCTTGACAGTCAGATGTCACTGTGACCTGTGAACAGTCTACAGACTGCTAAGAATAGTCGGGTACCAAAGTCAAGCTTGATGGTGGAAGAAAGTACAATTACCCTGTTCCCACAAATGACCCTGAAGACACATGGGCTTACCCCTCATGGCCTGTGATGGTCAAACACTGCCCCTGTTCTTTAGTAGATGACTTTTTACTGGAATGTGGCCTCGCTGGTTTGTTTCCGTGGTGTCCCTGGCTGCTGTGTGCGGCAGTGCAGCGTGAAGCAGTTACAACAGAGACCACATGCCTTCAAGAACTCAAAGATTGGCCCATTACCACAAAAATGTGCCAGCCCCGACTCTGGCCGTGTGTAACGATGCCTTGGAAAGTGACATGCGAACATTTCGGTTCCAGTTCTATTGCTTATAGTTTTATATGCAAGCCAATAGGGCGTGTAAATGCTCTCAAGGGCATGCTGATAGCATGGGGAGAGCTTTGTCCACATTCATTGAACAGGAGGACCCAAAACAAAACACAGACTCAACCTATGCCCCTCCCGACTCCCCGCAGACTCCCACCCTGGTGCATACATGTGCTCACGCACTGCTTCCCAGGCCTCCTCCAGCCTTGCCTGCCCTGGGGGCTGGAGAGTTCCAGCTCTGGAAGGCTGCCCCACCAGCAATGGAGAACATCTAGGGGGAGGGCTGCAAGCTGGCTCTGCTGGACTTTGGGTTCACTGGGCTTTGCCAACTTCCCAGAGCAACTGTTGGGAACATTGTGCAGAGCCCTGTGGTCCCTTCCTACCCCTAACACTCCCTCCCTGGAAGCTCTCCCCTCCCCTCCCCTCCCAGGCCCAGCTCTTGTAACTCCCAGGTAAACTTTCTCTGGGGCACAAGGTGACTTTGGAGAATTGTGGCTTCTTAGAGCATGGCCTTTTCCTGACTCTTCCTCAGCTCTCTCCTGTGGCCTTTAAGACTTTCCCACCTCCTGTTTTGCCATCTGTCTACCCTGTGCAGGCTCTTCCCAGGAGAGAGGGCTAGGTGGCTTGCAAGGAAAGGGAAGAAGAACGATGAACTATCTGCGGCTTTCGTGGTTGCAAACAATGTTAAATAAACTCCCCTTTCCACACAGCACGCCGTTCCGGAAGGCAAAGGCCTTGTATGCCTGCAAAGCTGAACACGACTCTGAGCTCTCGTTCACAGCAGGCACCATCTTCGAGAACGGTGAGTTTCCCATCATCTCACAAGAATGGAGGGGATGCAGGTGAATGAAGTTCCTACGTGGGCCAAGGGGATCTTTCCCCCAAATCAGACTTCTGGAGGCCTTACCTTGGGTAGCCCACATTGACATCTAGTCACTGCGTTGTTTGGAGCAATCTCTGAGTGAGACTGTACCTGGCCTTGGTATTTCACATTTGTGAGCTAGACAATCAGTGACAAGGGAGTGGATACAGGATCGTGGCAATTGGTCACAGGTATCGGACGAGCTTAAGGTCACCTGTTATGTCATGCTTTCTCCTTGGGATGTCCACCTGCATTGTACAGGCAAGGCCCACTCACCAGACAGCCAGGCGGGCAGTGAACCTCTTCCCGTTCCTCCTCCCTTGAACTTTGGAGCACAGAACAGATTCTCTCATGTGACATCACACCCCAGCAATGGCCTGCCATGGTATCCTGGTGCAAGCACGTATTATGGTGCTCCGTGAAACCGGGGACCTGCTTGGTGTACTATTATGCCATTTCTTTTCTGTCTTCCAGCCTAGAAACGTATTTTATAGTGAAAGATGAAGCTTGGTTTGGCATAATTCTTTGCCTGAGAGGAAAATCTGGCCCCTTGTACAAACACCAAGTTTCTGTGATGGCTGCTTTCCGTGGTGAAGTTATCCTTCAGGGTTAAGGCAGTTAGTTCTGTTTGCTTCAGAGGAAGCCAGAGAGGCAGCAGCCTTTTTCCACAATCCAGGCGTTTGTTCTGGTAAGCACTAGCCTCAGGTACAGTGAGGGCAAAGGTCACACCAGTCTGGCCGGGCACCCCTGCCTGGCCCTAACCACACCTCTCCCCATGTGACTGAGAAGCAGCAGAAGCAGCTGCCCTCACAGCATAGGAAAGCCTGAACCCTAGAGACAGGCCACAGTACATGTCCCAGTCTGACTACTTGCTCTGATGTGACCTCAAGTGGTGACATCACTTCTCTGTGCCCTGCTTCTCTTCTCTGTCCCAGCAGAATGCACACCTACCTTGCATGGTATGGTAAAAAGGACGTCGCTCTGATGTGACCTCAAGTGGTGACATCACTTCTCTGTGCCCTGCTTCTCTTCTCTGTCCCAGCAGAATGCACACCTACCTTGCATGGTATGGTAAAAAGGACGTCAAGCTGATATATAGTGTAGGCATAAAGTAGTACTGAAGGAATGGAATAGGAAATATGCAGAGTGCTATCCTTATTGTCACAACTCTGTGTCCATCTTAGAAAAGGACTGTGGTGCTGCGATCTGGTAACAAGAATGGCTTTTCTTTTTGGGCTAGCATGGCCCAACCCGACTGACTGTCAGCCAGCTGTAGGCACTGTAGTCCCATCCAGAGAGCCTGGCACCAGGTGTCCCCCACGCCCTGCATTCTGCTCACCTGTTCAGTCAGGCATGAGTAGACCCAGTGGGAAACACAGCAGTCAATGCAGGAAGAGTCCCAGCCTGGTTCTCCTGGGCCAGCAACAACTGGGGCAAGTTCGAAACTACAAGTGTCCCGATGAGCCTGTGGTCCCCCTCCCTGCTTCCCTGAGTCCAGAGCACCATGCTGAATCTTTGAGCACATGAAACAGCTAGTGCAGCCACATCTCCTGTCATCAGCCGGTGCTTGTGAGCCTAGCAGACCAGCAGGCACAGTGGGGCTGCGGAAGACTGTCCCAAACCCTGCCATGGTGAGTGTGCCCGCACAGAACAGCTGTACTAACATGGCACAGTTTCCCCTGATGGACAAATCAGAATGGGTGTCACCACTGGGGCGGTTCTGCTCCTGCCATGGGTCAGTGATATATACAGTTATGCAATTCTCCCCACTGTCTGATTCCAGGATATCACCCCCCCACACACACACACACACACACATACGATGAACCCATGCCCTTTAGCAATCGTGATGCTTTATGCCTGAACTTTGGATATTTCATGCAAATAGAAATTGCATAATATGTGGTCTCTGTATTTTCTTTTATTTTTAAATGATGTTTTTCGAAGTTAACCCATGTTGTAACACATATCTGCAATTTATTCCCTTTTATGGCCAAGTAGTATTTCATCGTGTGGCTGTACCAAAATTTACTTCAACATCTACCAGTTAATTGATGGGATAGCTTATTGCCACTTTTCCCCTGTTAAGAATGGTATCCTGTTGACATTCATGTTTGAGTGGTTTTTTTTAAAAAATAAGTTCTTTTGGGATTTCTGGGTCACATGGTGACTCTAGATTTGCTGTTTGAGGAAATGCCAGATTATTTTCGCAAGGAGCTTGCACCGCTCCGCATCCCCTCCTCGTTCATTTTAAGTCTCATTTTTGACATAACCTAAGTAGTGAACAACAAGAAGTCAGGCAGACACAGCTCACAAGCTTGACCTGCTAACGCCTCCCTTTCCCAGTGGGGTGCTCTGCCCAGCAGGTGCTGTGACTGCTCCTACCCACCACCAGGTAACCTTCATAACTCCTTAAAGACAGGCACATGTAGCAAGAAAGATGTTTGGTTCCCTTCCCACGCACCCCCGTGATCTCCAGGGTTCACCAGAGTTCTCCGGTGGTGACATCACGTGCTTGCATGTGACCGTGGGCACGCTCGTGCTGTGACACACATGTGGAGTCAGAGAACATTTTTTTTCTTTTTTTCTAACTTTCCTCCTATTATTCTTTGTGTTTTTTACATCATGCATCTGGATCCCATTCATTTCCCTGTCCCTTCATATCTGCCCTCTGCCCTTGCAACACCTCCCCATCAATCAGAATAAAATAAAATTTAAGAGAAATAAGGAAAATAGGGAAAATCAGTCTCATCATGGAGGCTGTAGTGTGGCACAGTGAGTAACGCAGTAACCCCTTTGTCCGTACATCTTTACTTGCGGGTGTCTGTCAAAGAGTCACTGGTCTGGTTCAAGGCCTCTGGCTTCTGCTACACTATCATATCAATACTAAAGCCTCACTGGGACTCCTCTTGGATTTCCTGTTGCTGCCCTGTGTATAGAGATCCTGCAGCGTTGGGTCTGCAGGACTGGCCCCTTAACATGCTGCTGCAGATCACAGATGGGGTGGATGTTGGGGTGTGCCAACTCATAACCCTGGTTCTGGGCCTGGGTAGTTACAGGGTTGGCCAGCCGCCAGTTCTCCCTTGTCCTCATCCCAGGGCGAGCTCTCCAGCACTGCCCTGGCAGGTTCACTCCTTTCAGCCATCAGCAAAGGGCTAGGCCAGTTCTTCTGCTTTCAGGCCCTCAGGGTCGACTCTCCCACACCTCTACCTTTAGAGCCAGCTCCACTATGCTGCCCAGGTGAGGTGCAGAGCCTGCTCTCCCAGGCCCTGCAGCTGGTGAGGGGCAGGGGCAGCTCTCCCACTCTTATGACCTCAGGACCAGCTCCCCCACCTACCTCAGGCATAGAGGGGGGAGGGCGTCTCTCCCCTGCCCATGCCATATGGCAGATAAGGGTTGGGGCCAAATTGCTCATGCTCATGTTCTTGGGCCAGTCCCCTCTGCCCTCCCCCACCCCATCAACAGAGTCAGCTCTGCTGCACTTCCCAGAAGAGGTTGCAGGACTGCTTACCGAAGTGTTGCAACTGGTAAAGGGGAGAGCTGGATAACTGGAGGTGGTAGGGGAGAAGGGGGAGGCATCTTTCTCCTCAACTCCACTACTTCTCCACAGACAAGGAGGTGGTACCAGCTCTGCGCCTCTCATGCCTTCAGGGTTGGCTCACCTGTGCCCTTGGAGAACGTTATTTCTGGAAGCAGTTCCTTCCTCCGTCTAGTGAGGCAGGGTCTCTCTTGTTTCTTCTGTGTGCTGCAGACTCCAGTCTAGCTTCCAGCCGATTCTCCTTCCGCCTGCCATCTTACCATAGGAATTCTGGGATTTCAGAAGCACACCACCACCCTGGCTTTTAGCTTAGGTTCTGGAGTCATCAGCTTCCGCAGCAAGTGCTTTTATCCTTGGTGCTGTATTCCTGGCCCCCGACAGAAACGCTAACCCACTTCCTAAACTGTTTTGCCTGGTAATATTTCACCAGATCCTATTCTAGAGGAAAAATCTACTTTTCCTCTGTCGGAGAAACAAAGCATTACCAAAGACGATAGTTAGGATGTTAGGTGGAGAAGTGGCCTTTTCCGACTGCTGCCTCCTGTGTTGACCCGGGAGAGGTAAGGTTAAGCCTGTGTAGCCTGGAGGCTCTCTGCGGCGGTCAGGTTGAAGCTTCCTGTGGACAGTTTTCAAACATGTAAGCTCTTGTTATAAGTGTGCTGTATTTTGTGTGCGGAATAAGGAAGAGAAGGGAAGGGTGTGTGGGGTGAAAGTCTGCTGTTTTATAACCCTTGATCTCTAAGCCTTGGGATTCCAGGGGCCCAAGCTAGGACTCTGAGGTGGCCGCTTAGTCAGCTCCTGGCCTCCATGTAACAGAGGGTTGATGTTCAATACTGGGAAATATCTCCAGTGTCAGCTCTTGCCAATCTACCAGGAAACTGTCCACACTGCTAGGAGCACCTCAGACAGTAACTGGAAAGAGAAGTAATTTGTGTTCTCAGGAACATTAGTCACCCGGAAGCAGTGTGATTTGTGATACCTAGAAAATTCGCATGGCAGTTGTAAAAATTGGGTTCTTGGGATACTCTTTTCACGTTTTGAGATAAGGGTCTGGGAGACAGGTCTGTAGGTGACATGCTTGCTATGTGGGCATGAGTACCTGAGTCCCATGCCTAGTACCCTTGTCAAAAGTCAGGCGAGGTAGTGTGCCTCTGATCGCAGTGCTGGGCAGATGAAGATGGGAGGGTTCCTAGAGACTCTGCCTCAAGAAATAAGGTGGAGAACTGAGGAGGACACCAGTACTGGTCTCTGGCTTCTACACACACAGATGCATACGTGTGCACATACATCCATGCACCTGTGTGCCTGCGTGAGCAACCACACACACACATTTGAGATGAGCTAGATCCTTCATTGTGGTATACAACGAAGCACCATTGCCAAACCAAGCTGTCCCAGGTCCCTTTCAGGTAGACAGCATCCTCACCAGAGAGACCACAAGCTATCCAGGTGTGGGTGACCCGAGCGCTTAGCAGGCTGTCTTAGCCTCCTCTCTGCTCCTCTGCCACACCAGCATCCCGCTGATTTTACCATCTCACCTGCATGTTCCCACCAGCTGCCTAGCAAGCCCTGCCATTGCCACTCTTGCCTCTCAGCCTAGCTCTGCATACAAGCTAGAGTGAACTCCCAAATCCTATCATGTTGTTCCCCTGTTTCGAGCACTGCCGTGGTCTCCTGCTGCTCTGTGAGGCACCTCTGAGGCCCTCTGCAGCCCAGCCCTGCCTCCTGACCTTTCACCCTTTCTTCGTGCACCACAGCTTAGGAGGGCATATCCATAAACTGCTGACTGTCCAACTTGCCTCTTTTTGTAATTAAAGTTTTATTGCAGCACAGTCACCATGGTTTTTTGTTAGTATGTTTTCTATGACACTACAAGGAATTGCCGTACTCTGTGGCGTGTTATGGGGAGTTTACAGACCACTGTTCTGGGATCACATGTAACTTTTCCGTGTCTTAGGGCCTTGTGTCTGCCCTAAGCACTGCCGGCTGACACTGTGAGAGCCTTTAGCTTGTAACTTTCAGAGTGCCTCCCCTCCTCCAGTCTCTTCTCCCCTTATTCTCTCTCTGTCTCTCTCTGTGTCTCTCTCTCTCTGTCTCTCTGTGTCTCTCTCTGTCTCTCTCTCTCTCTCTCTCTCTCTCTCTGTCTCTCTCTCCTCCCTTTCACTAGTTTATTGATAAATAATTCTCACTTCCCAAAAGGGACAAGAACCTAGCACAGTCTGTGGCCTCTGATAGGACCTCAGAAGCCATTTGAGTAATGAGTAAATGTAGCAGGAACAATAAAAGCCCAGAGACAGATTTTGGAGTTCAGCCTGAAGATCAGAGAAGCAAAGCAGCCAAGCCACTAGAGAGCTCTTCAGACTGAAAGAGTGAGTTTCTCTCTCCTCCTGTTTTATATTCCTCTCTAGTGCTGGAATTAAAGGCGTGTACCACCACTGCCCGGCCTCTATGGCTAACTAGTATGGCTGCTGGGATTAAAGGTGTGTGCCACCACTGCCTGCCCTGTATGGCTGACTAATGTGGCTGTAATGTGGTTTGTAACTTCCTCCCATGGAAGCTTCTTCCCTCTGGGGGTAGCCAGCCTTTAGAGACCGTATCCCATGTTTGCCCATTGTCCATAGTGAATTAGCAGCAGAGAAGACAGCATGCGCCGAGCGTGCCAGGGAGCTGTGGTGTACCTAAGGCTGTAGCAGAGAGCAGTTGGCCCGTGCCACTAGCAGCTTCTGTGTTCACTGCTCTAGACTGCCACCCAGGCAGCTCCTTGCAGTGTGTGGCGTGTACGTAGCACATTGACGGGTGCAGTTCAGCCTGCCAACCACTAACTGAGCACGTCACCCACCAGCCAGCATACTGAGGCAGGCATAAGCAGAATTCAGACTGTGGTCAGATGTCCCCGGCCTCTAGGATAGCTCCAGTCTGAATTCTGCGAAAATTACATAGCTGCCTAACCTTTTGGACCCTGAGTTTTTCACCTGTAGATGAGGATAGCAGCAGAGCCGGCTCTGTGTTCACACGGAAGCTAATACAGGTGGAGCGCCTGTTAGTGATGTTTCTGCTGTTGCTGTGCTCAGCCTGCTCACACTATCAAGAAGCACGTTCTCCTACTGAAGCAAAGCAGGATATGTAGGGCAAGGCTTTGGTCTCTGGGTTCAAATTCTGGTTTTACTTTCACAACTAAGTGCAAATTAACTTGTCTGAAATTCTGAGCATGTGACCCCCATGATACTCGGCCTTTCCAGGAGTCGGGCTATGTCGTAATGGGTGATGCAGAGGGGAGGGACTGAAGGTTGTTGAGCCTTCATTGATAACAAAACTGAACTAGGGAAGCATTTTAGCCGTATAATAGGACTCATGAACATTATGTGGGATATGCTGTGAATTTTCCAGAAATCAGGAGGTGGGAGAAGCCGGCAGAAGCAAGTCCGTCATACTATTTATAAAGGAATTGGGGTTTCATCTGAGCCCTTTATGAGACCAGGGAACAGATTCCAGCAGGAAGGAGTTGGGCATCCAGGCTCCCACCTCCACCAGCCAATCAAAACTCAGATTTTCATTCTTTAACTATTACCTTTCCTACAAAGGTGTTTTGACACAGGAAAGTCGTAGCTCTTCACGTCTACAAACCTGTTCAAATGCAGGTGCCTAGGGCCCAGGGATCTGCACATTCCGTGAGCATACAGGTGGGGCTGATACATTGTCTAGCACTAGGCTTTAAGCAGCCGTGGCTCAGAGACTCCAGCAAGTCAACAGGCTCTTCAGGGGGTTGCTTCGTTCCCTGAATCCATGAAACACATCTCTAGGTCTTCCTGGCTCCCTCCCATTCTCCCCGCCGTCTGTCTGCAAATTCCACTCAGGTTTGTAGATAACCTCCTCAGCACCCATGCTATCTGAATGACTATGGGAGGAAGCAGACACACAACCACTAAGCAGCTGTGCTGGAAAGAGGCTCTTTTGGTTGTCTGTATTTTGTTCAGATGGCATTTTTCCTATTAACTCATTTATTTGGGGGAACAAGGTTTAATTTGTTCATTTTTGGTCTGGAACATCTAAGGTTTCCTGAAGCTTTGGTGGGTACAGATATACCAAAGCCAGATATCAGACTGGCTGGTGGAAGGGCCCTGGAGTCCTCCTGTCTCCACCCCCCACTGCTGGGAGAGCAGGTGTACACCGCCACAGCTGGGAGAGCAGGTGTACACCGCCACAGCTGGGAGAGCAGGTGTACACTGCCACAGCTGGGAGAGCAGGTGTACACCGCCAAAGCTGGGAGAGCAGGTGTACACCGCCACAGCTGGGAGAGCAGGTGTACACCGCCACAGCTGGAAGAGCAGGTGTACACTGCCACAGCTGGCTTTTTCACATGGTTTCCGAGCAGCTGAACCCAGGCCTCAGACACAGGGACCTTTACCTGCGTGTGTTGTCATTCCCCTGGCTTGGCCCTCTTTTACTGGGAGGGAGTTCCTTACTTTCTAAGCTGCCCTGGGAGCTAATGATGTGGCATCCTTAACCCATACCAGAAACCAAAGAGAAGATTCTGCTACCATCGTAGAGGTGCAGACCTGGAAATGGTCATGATAGCCTCAGCTGGCGGCCAGGCAGAGGGAAGCCTATCTGCGACCTAGGAAGACCTTTGGTACCTGGAGAGGTCAGGCCATCCGAGTGCTGCAGACTCTTCCCTGTGGGGATGGTGTGGGTCTGACATCTGCTTAGGTTTCATGCTTCAGGCCTCGTGGTTGGAAGTTATGCAAGGTTTCAGAGGCCGGCTGCCCGTGTCCTCATTTGAGGAATGTCTCTGCACACATCAGTCCTTTTAGAAGTCTCACAGTCCGGGATTTTGTTTCCTCCTCATTGGCTTCTGGGTCCTCATTGGGTTCTGTTCTTCTCTCCCTACAAACCGAAACTAGAATTATACAGTAGAGTTGGGGCGGAAGTGCGTTTCTAAAACAAGCTCAGGAAGTCACTTAATTAGCCCAGGAAAGGAACGGGGAAAATCCATTCTTTCCGAACACTCTTGGATAATTGGGGTTTTCCTAGTCCATGTAGAGTGAGTACCCTGTCCCACCCGAGAGTGAACTGTGCTTGTATGGTTGGTTCACAAGTAGGAACACTCCTCCTCCCCGTACACACACGTCTCTGAGGCTCACAAATCCATCTCTCTTCCCCGCCCTGTGGTGTGCTTTACAGACTCAGCCAGATTTCTCCATAGAGAGGGACTGTGACAGAACGGAAGTGGGTCTACCGTCTGTGGATGCTGAAAAAAAATCAGAAACTTCGAAAGTTGCCTTAGAGGAAGCAGACAGCTTTTCTGGCTTGTTTATAGGAAAAGGAAAAGTTCTGGGGTATAGGAAAGCAAGGGAGGGTGTGGGTGGAGCAGAAGGGAAGCAGGC